CCCCAAAACCCCAAAACCCCAAAACCCCAAAACCCCTTCTTTGTACACTTAAATTGAATATCTGAAATACTATTGAAAGGTACTAATACTCAGCTGTTGGCTCAGATGCGTTCGCATGGCCGCCAAAGAACTGCTTCATTTTGTTATAGACATCATTGAAGACAAATCTGTCTCCACTATCCTTAACTGCTTCAATGCAGTAAGTGTCATCGCCTGCATTCAGAATGTTAACAGTCATTGAAACCATCTTCTCTTCTTGTAAAATGTTCAAGGTTGATGAATACTCCTCTGGGGAGAACTCAAACTCTGTGGTGACCTTATCGGCAAAAAGAGCTAATGTGTTGAAAAGAGACTCTAAGTCGGACTTTGAGAAGAACTGGGTGTACCTCTTGAACTCTGGTATGTATTCCATACAGGTTCTATCAAGGGAAGGGAGTTTAGCTCCATCTTCAAGCTCTCCACCGACACCTCTGTGAACTGTTCTTCTGGTGAAGACTGAGGGATCAACTTCCTCTGTAGGGACTGGCTGGTCTTCTTGAGAGCTTGCTCCGTCTAAGGCAGCTTTTCTTTGATTGAATTCTTCCTTGATTTCCTCATAGGTGGGGACTGGGGCATTGTACCAATCTGAAGCCCTGATCTCGGCTAGGGATGGCCTTTGGATAGGGTCGAAGCTAAGCATTGAAGAAATCAATTCTCTGAACTCAGGAGAGAAAAAGTCTAAACCATTTGGCTTATTTCTTGAGTGAAGCTTCCAAAATAAGTCTGACCTATTCGCGCTGATAGTCTTGTAGTGGGGGTCTTTAGGTGAGGCCTTGTTGAAAGGAGGATGTTGCGCAACCATAATAAATAATATGATTCCTGCAGCAAATAAATCAACATTTTGGCCTGAATATTTTTGTCCTAAGTGAATTTCAGGTGCCATGTAATTATCTGTTCCCTTTCTAGATTCGTTCTTAGCTTGGTTGGACGAAAATCCGAAATCAGCTAACTTCAGGTTAAATTCATTATCAAGCATGATATTTTCTGGCTTCATATCTCTATGGCTAACACCATTTCCGTGCAAATATTCGAATGCATCACACAGTTGATGGAAATAGAACCGAGCGACTTCTTCCGTGAACTTTCCAGTTTGGGCAATGAAGTCAAACAGCTCTCCACCATTAGCAAGTTCAAGAGCTAAATAAAATACATCTTCTGTGACTCCATCTGCGTGAGTATGTGTTTCGGTGTCTGAAAAATCGATAAGGTTGATAATATTAGGATGACTAAGATTTTTCATTATTTCTACTTCATTTCTGACAATATCAGTCATGCCTGAGTCGTAGCCCATATCTCTTTTCATAATTTTGAGGGCTCATAAGTCATTGGTTTGCTTATGCCTTGCTAGCTTTACTCTGTAGAAATGATTAGAGGGAGATTCTTTCATGGTTAATTTAAAACTTACTCTGAATAAGCTCCACTTCCTAAGGTTCTTAATAAATTCCACTCTCCACAGGTAGCCATTAGATAATAAATATTATAAATTTCTGGTAAAAATCTATCGAGGCTGTTTTATATGGGGTTTTGGGGTTTTGGGGTTTTGGGGTTTTGGGGTTTTGGGGTTTTGGGG